CAGCCTTGGGGCCGTGCCCACTGCCCTGGGGAGCCTGGGCAGTGCCCACCACCCTCTGGGGGAAGAACCTTGTCCTGAGATCCACCCTGAGCCTGCCCTGTCCCAGCTCCAGCCCTTCCCTGGGTCCTGTCCCTGCTCCCAGCAATGACTGGAGGGCTGCCCAGGAAAGGGAAAAACCAATAAAATATTGTTTGATAAAAGGTTGGAACACGTAGAATACTTGATTTAGCTCCCACATTCCTCATCCCAAGTGAAAATGGCCCCTTGATTGTTGTGGCAGACCACGTAGAACTGGGCTGGGCAGTTCCTTGGCCCTGGATCTGTGGCTCTGCTCGTGGCTCATTTGCTGGTTCTGTCCATCAGTGCTCAGGGCTCATAATTCAGGGGTGCCCTGATGTGTTAGAAACCAAGCCAGGGCCGGGGTAACTCTGCTGGGTTGTATTTCTGTGCCCTCACACGGAGGATTTTATTCTCCCCAAGCAGACTCTGGAAAGGGCTCAGTAGAAACATTGAATCATGGAATCACTAAGGTTGGAAAAGACCTTTAGGATGACATCCAGTCCCACCATCGACCCCCCCCCCACCACGTCCACCATCAGACCACATCCCCAAGTGCCACATCCACACATTTTGAACACTTACAGAGGGGATGATTCCGCCAGGCTGGGGGGAATGTGCAGATGGAGTTGTGCTGGTGATTCCAAGTTATCCATTGTCATTTCCCAGCCTTTCCTGACTCTGATTGTAGCAAAGAACTGCCCAGAGAAGCTGTGGCTGCCCCTGGATCCCTGGAAGTGTCCAAGGCCAGGTTGGACGGGGCTTGGAGCAACCTGGGTTGGTGGAAGGTGTCCCTGCCCATGGCAGGGGGTGGGAACTGGGTGATATTAAAGGTCCCTTCCAACCCAAAGCATTCCATGATTCTGTGATTAGTGGGATTCAGATGTTCATGAAAGTACTTTGGCATCCATGAAAAATGAGCCCTGACATTTCCACTTGGAAAGGAACCCAGTTTTTCCTCAGTGTTTTTATTTTAAAGACAAGAAAAATCTCAGTAGTTGTGCACCTCAGGAAGAAAGTCCTTCATCAGGAAAGTCTGTCCTGCACATTCTGCTCAGATTTGGGCCATTTTCCCCAGATGTTTGTTGCTCAAGAGGAGAGCATTTGTTGCAGTTCAGAGCAGCCCATTTGCACCCCAGCTGTCAAAGGAGCTGCTAAAATATTTCCTTGTTCAGGGTGTCAGTGCCTCCTCTGCAGTGCTGCTGGTTGGACACAGCCCTTCAAGCCAAGGTCATGGGATTCTTTGAACAGTAAATTCTGAAGGGAAAAAGAATCAAACCCTTGGCTCACTTTTCATGAAGCCAACCATGCATGGGGAGAACTGGTTCTGCTCCTCAAACCTCTGATTTACCTGATGCCAAAGAAACTGCTCTGAAATCAGGCATTTACTGAACAGAAGTGAAATTTGTGGCTTTTGCAATGGGCCAAAATTTGCTTCTTTTGGCATAAAAATGATAAATGTTCCAGACCTGCTCTTCATTTCAAGCCAAGTTTCAATTCAGTTTCAATTGTCCTGAATCCCAAGGGATCATTATCAGTGTCTGCTGCCAGTGTGATCCCTCCCCAGCTTCAGAATCAGGGAGGAAACAACCCTGAGTGTCTGGATCTACTTTTCTGGGTTTGTCTGGTTTGGTTTTGGGGTGGTTTTGTTAATTTTTAAGTCAAATCTCTCATTCCCTTTTCAGGGGCACAGATTAGTTAAAGCAGCAGGTGATGGCATTCCATGAAAATCAGGGACATACATGAGGACCTTTTTATTGGCACAGTCTGAGCTCCTGAGTTAATTCAGGAAGCTAAAAATGTAGTAAATACTCCCTAAATATTAACTTTGTATGCAAAGAACTGGAAGAGTTGTCCAGGGTCTGATGTGTCCATAAGGAAAGTTTGTTTCCATGGGGAATATACTGAATTTTCCCAGACTTTGATGAGGGGTGAGGGAAAGAATTAAACTGGAGAATTTTGGTAGTGTAAAAATAGTTGAAATAAATCATTTATACAGCAAAATGTTTTCCCCCTGTTTGAAATCACCGTTGCTTTTTTGAAATGTGTTGTATTTTATGCCAAAAAGTAGTAAAAGTAGTCAAAACTGGAAGACAACATTCTGTGTTCCAGTCTCAGAAGAATTGCATTAAACTCACCTGAAAAGTAACAGCCTCCAGAAAAAAAAAGGATTAAATGTTCTGTCTAATTCAGAATAGAAAATAAAATTTGAGACTGTGGAATTTGTACAAAAGTTCTCCCATCTGGACAGGAGGTGATTTACAACAATTAAAGGACAAAGCTGATGGAAGTGAGATCTTAGTGACAACCTTTTCCTGTGCTTCTAAAGGAGAACAAACTCGACCCCTTTGCCTTGACCTGGAAATTTGGGAAATCTGAGGGGTCTCCAAGGACCTTCATGGGTCTTCAAATATTTAGTCCTTCAAATATTTGGAAGCAATTTTTAATTAATTAATTTTTTAATTCAATTTTTAAGTGAGAAGAAGTAAATAAGCTCTGCAGCACCTTCTTGAGTGGGATCTCCCTGACTAGAAGGGTAAAGGAGACCCTGGAATTCAGAGTGTCCATGAGCTGAGGGTTCAGGTGTCACTCCAAAGGGCCATCAGAGCATTGTGGTCACTGCAGCTCTTCCCTAATCCTCTCCCCTCTTGGGGTGTCTCTGCAGTTTCTTCCCACCACAGGAAGGTTTTGCCCCCATTTTTGTTCCCAGCCATCTGTGGGGTTGGTTTGGGCTCCGGGGGAACGACACAGCTCAGGGGGAATGGGCAGGTGGCACTGAGGGAGGCTTTAAAGCTTGGCCACCAGGGAAAAGTTCACTCTTGGAGATGGCCTTTGTTAAAGAAAGGTGTTCAAACAGTGCTGTGAGTCCCCGGGAGGGGAGGCACCGCTGAGGTTGTGCCACTACCCCAGAACGAGTGACCGGGACGGGCACAGCTCCTGGTCAGTGCTGCTGCCCCTGCTCCAGCTCTGAGGAGTTTGCCAGTGACCAGCAGTAAAACCCAGGACCCTGTTGTGTTTTCCAGGGTGTGCAGACCTGCATCTGCTGGACATGCTGACTCCCACGGAGAGGAAGAGGCAGGGCTACATCCACGAGCTCATCGTCACCGAGGAGAACTACGTCACCGACCTGCAGCTGGTCACAGAGGTGAGGCAGAGCCCCTGAATCCCTCACCTTTGGAACCAAATCAACATTTCGTGGTGCCAAACTACTGTGTGTCCCTGCTGGGCTTGGCCTCCTTGGGATGAGCTGTATTGGACTGCCATTCACGTGTATTTATGTATTTAGAGATCCACGTGTGCGGGTGCAGCTCGTGTTGAGCCCTGGTGTGACCATCACCAAAATGCTGATGTTTGAAGTGTCATTTTAGCAAAGCCCCTGGTTCTCAGTGTGGATTTGTCGTGTACAAGTCCTTAAACTGAAATGGATGTCCTGAAAGGAAGCCCATTTTCCACGCCCACGGTGGCCCTGAGTTATCACTTACTGTGGTTTGCTTTACGTGTTCCAAGGGACATCCCTGATGTAGGAACAAATGGAATTAGCACAGAAAATCCTTTTGACAGAGAAGCAAAGCCCTGTTTTGAAGAAGAGGTCGAGATATGCAAACCTGAAACACCCTGAGAGAAATGAGAACTTCCATAAAAGAGTCCAAAGGAAAACATATTTCAGGTGTTTTATCTAAGAAATCCTGAGATCTTCTGCAGGAGACCTCTCTCTAAAATTCCCGAGTTTTAAACAGATTATCCAGATCAGAATTAACATTCCCAAGTTTCAAACAGGTTCTCCAGATCTGAATGAACACCACCAGCAGCACAAACTCAGAGTATTCCCTGTTAAAGCCACGTGCCCCTCACATCTCTGAGGTCTCCCCTTAGTCCCAGCTGTTCTCAGGGAACACAGTGGATGTCTGGGACATGGAGCAGGGTGGAATTCTGTCCCACTGAGGGACAAGTGCTGCCCTGATGGCAAGTTTTCTCCCGTCCTCCCTAAGGAAATGGGCTAAATCAGCCTCAGTCACTTGGGTCATACATGTACATTCTAAACAGCTTCATTTTCTGACCCTCCAGATCTTCCAGAAGCCACTCCTGGAATCTGAGCTGCTCACAGAAAAAGAAGTTGCCATGATTTTTGTTAATTGGAAGGAGCTGATTATGTGCAATATAAAACTACTGAAGTAAGTTGGGTTTCCCCCCCCCATACTTGGCAATGACAGGACCCTGGGCCTCTGCCCTGCTCCTCCTTTCAGCTGCAGGAAAACATTTGCCACACACACAGATCAGAACCAAAAGGGCCACGTGTTTCTCCTTGTGGGAAAAAGCAAAATATGGACAGTGTTTGCTGTGACTTTGTCGTTGGGAAAAAAACAGCAGTTCTTTGCTGAGTAAATATTTGCACTTACTTTCTTCTTGTCCACGTGCTCCAGAGGGCAGACCCTGCTCTCCTCTGAAAAGCAGGATTTGCCAAGGCTTCCCCCAGCCCTGTCAGAGACTTTTCCCTCCTCTGTCCCAGCCCACACCCACTTCCAGTCCTGTTATCCATGGATGCAAACCAAGGCACAGCAGCCTCTGCCTCTCTTATTCCGAGCTGGCTGATGCATTCCATTAATTAGTGTGGCCTTTAATGAGTGTAGGGTTACAGCACCTGAATGTGCTGACAGGGGAGAAGCAGCACCACCAGAGCCTGGTTCCCCATGGATTTGTGTCCAGAGGACCCTCCACCCTTCCTCCCAAAGGCTCCAGCTGCTGCAACCCCAACTCCCTGCCATGAGACTCCACTCTTATCCCTCCCTTCATTCGTCGTGGCCTCTGATGGATCCAGTTCCTCCCTCAGCCATCCCTCTGCTCCAGCAGGACACAGGGAATGCTGTGGCTGCTTTGCAGGCTGCTCACCTGGTCACTGCTGGAGACACAGAGCGAGGGTGGAGTTAAACCTGGATCTTGATAAACAGGAGGATTAATAAAGTCCATCTTTTCCCTACGGAGCTGCTAATCTGCATTGAACTTGTGGGGATTTTATACCTCTGTGATATCTCCTGTTTTTCATAAAACCTTTGGAAAATGGCCCACGAGTTGAAGAGTTATGGCAGCGACAGAACAAATGACAATAAACCTCCTTCCCTCAGGAAACCAGGCTAAGACCTGGAGAGGCAGCTTTGAGCTCAGAGCGATGGTTTTTATCCCTCCCTCTCCCACACGTCTGTCCCTCTCTTTCTAAACTGACAGAAAAGGAAATTACCCTCCTTTTCATACGGGATCTGACCTGGCATTGCAGGGCCCTGCGGGTGCGCAAGAAGATGTCCGGGGAGAAGATGCCGGTGAAGATGATCGGGGACATCCTGACGGCCCAGCTGCCCCACATGCAGCCCTACATCAGGTTCTGCAGCTGCCAGCTCAACGGGGCCGCCCTCATCCAGCAGAAGACGGACGAGGTGCCCGAGTTCAAGGAGTTTGTCAAAGTAAGAGCGGGGGCGACCCCCGGGAATTCGGGGCACGGAGCTTGTCCTGTGGCTGAACGAGGCCATGCCTGGAGTGGGGGGTTCAGTTTTGGGCTCCTCGCTTGAGAAGGGACACTGAGGGGCTGGAGAGTGTGCAGGGAAGGGAGCAGAGCTGGGAAGGGGCTGGAGCAGCAGGAGGGGCTGAGGGAGCTGGGGGGGCTCAGCCTGGAGAAAAGGAGGCTCAGGGGGGACCTTCTGGCTCTGCAACCCCCTGACAGGGAGTGGTCAGGCCTTGGAATAGGTGTCCCAGGGAGGTGGTGGAGTCCCTGTGTCTGGGATTGTCCCTGAGGTGTCTGGATGTGGCCCTTGGGGACGTGGATTAGGGATGATCCTGGTGGTGCTGGGGTGGGACTGGATGATCCTGAAGGGCTCTGCCAGCCTTGGTGATTCTGGGATTCTTACCCAGACAAGGCAGGTGACAATCTGTTGGAAAAGCACAAGGAATTCCCCTGTGCAGTCCTGCAAGCTCAGCCCAGATTCAGCTGAGGATTGGTCCTCATTCCTTGCCTTTTCCATTCTTGGAGGAGCTCGTTTGCCCGGGTTTAAACCACGTGACTAACCAGGTTTTACCTCTCTGGTGTTTCAGAGGTTGGCAATGGATCCTCGCTGTAAAGGAATGCCACTCTCCAGTTTTCTGCTAAAGCCTATGCAACGGGTAACCAGATACCCACTAATCATTAAAAACGTACGTCCTGTGCACACCTGGGGGGTTGCTGCTGCTTGGCTTAGGGCTTCATTACAGGGCAGTGTCCCTGTTGGTGTCGGGCTTTGTCACTGTGGGACGTCTGATGTGCTGGGGAATGGGGGGGTGTCCTTTAATATTTGATCCAGCTGCAGAAAATGGGGTAATTCCTTGGCCTTCAGCACAGCTTGGTGTTTCCATTTGAAGCAGAGGTGAGACTTGCACCCAAAGAACCACGAGGCAGTGAATGTTGAAGGAAAACTTCAGACTCTGATAACAGGAGTCAAGCTTGTGCTCAAATTTCCCTTTCCCACAGTGTCATTCCCTCCCCACAGGCTGGGAAATGTCACGGTGGGGAAGCCTGGAAGCCAAATTCCTGCAGGTGCCCATCCTTTGACACTGCTGGATAACTTACAACCCTTTCCTAACTCTTATTTGCTGCCTAACACTGACCATCCCAAATAATGCCACTGAACTTGGCCCAGGGCTTTCCAAGGAAAGGGCTACAAATTGGATGTTGGCATTTAAGAGATTCCTTAGAGAGTCATGGCCATTATTTCTGTGTTTGGCTGGAATGTGTGTCCTTGTGTCAGAGGAGTCAGCAGTGTCCTGCTGTAAAGGCTGTGCAGGCAGGGATTCATTCCAGCTCTTCCCAAATAGTGTTTGTCTCCTATTTCTCACATCTGTCCAGGAGGGAAAGTATTTGGAAGGTATTGCCTGGCTCTGACAGAAATAAAGCCCTAGGAAGGAATCGTGGGGTTGACAGCACAGATACAGCTGGACTGCAGGAGACAGAGGAGCCTGTGATGTGTGTTGTGTCTCTGCAGATAATAGAGAACACTCCTGAGAACCACCCTGACCACAGCCACCTGAAGCACGCCCTGGAGAAGGCCGAGGAGCTGTGCTCCCAGGTCAACGAGGGCGTGCGCGAGAAGGAGAACTCGGACAGGCTGGAGTGGATCCAGGCCCACGTGCAGTGTGAGGGCCTCTCCGAGGTAAACCAGGGCTCCCCAGGGACCTGCACACGTGGGCAACCCCGGGAATAACCCACAGCTCCCTCATGGCACTGCATCCAGGGCAAAGAGTGGGATTGAGCCAGTCTCACCATCCCCAGTGCTTTGTTTTCCCCCTTCCTTGTCTCCCTCTCACTCCTGCACGTGACCCTTTTTGCTGCTCGTGTTCTTGCCTTCCCCGTGGTAGATCCTGCTTTGTTGCCTGGCTCTGGACTAGTCCCAGGTTCAATGCTGCAGTTTTCAACCACAACTTTCCACTTTCATAGTTCTTTACAGCACAGTGGTTGTGGAACTGCTGTGTCCCATCCCAAAGCTGTTCCTGACCATTTTGGAATGCTTTAAAAGTGATCACAGAACAGATTTTCTGTGGTAAAGCTTTGTGTACGTTTGAAAACCCAACAATACTGATCAAGTCTCTCTGGAGACTTTACAGAGAGAATCCCTGCCTCCCATTCCGTGTTATTTTTCCAGGTAGCATGCTAAGTTTCACTAAAAACTGTAATGAAAACATTGTGCCTGTATGTCCTGCAAAATGAGGGGGCATGTTCTGATGGCCTTCCTGTGTTGGTGACAATAACAGAGGCAGACAGATCACAACTTGATTTTCAAAGTATGCACCAAGTTGTCAGTTCTAGAAGGTAAAAAAATAACAAGCACTGGTTGGTTTACAAACTAGAAAAAAATTGTATTTCACCTCAGGAAATCTGACTGTTTTGGGAGAAAGATGAGTGTGACAAGGTCAGAAGGGTCAAAGACACATTCAGCTGTGGGACAACCACTGCCTGAAGGAAGGTGGCTGCTTTTTTCTTCTGTAGGTGATGTCTGGCCCTAGAGCACCCAATCTATAACCTGAAAGACCCTCTGGCTGCTTCTGCCACAGTAACTGCAGCAGCAGCAGCCTCAGCTGGGGGGAAGGAACAATCCAGCCCTCCCCAGTTTCTGTCTGAGGGGTTTCCAACCTGTCAAAGGAGCCAGCCCTGACCCAGCTGCCCAGTCAGTGAGGGTGGTAAGAACTGTGCCATCCCCTGGTGAAAATAAACCTGGAAATGGCGCTTTAGGGAAGGGCCACACCCTGCTCATGTGGTGACAACCCCTGGGTGGGGCTGTGATTCTGCCCCTTCCAGTGTCAGCAGCTGCCCGGGGTTTGGGGCTACCTGGAATTCTTTTGGGGTGCTTTGGGGGGTGAAATTCAAGCACAATTCGAAGTGCAGACCTTGTGAAGGAAGCCCAGGCTCCGGAGAGGCCGTTGGCAGAGGTGCTGCTGCTCCTCCAGGACAGGTCCTGGTGGGCTCAGCTCCACTCCCAGAGCTGCATGTGCGTGGGGAGGGGGCACAGATGCTTTTGGCTTCTCCCCGAGTGCCCAGGCCGTGCCTGTGTGATGATGGGCCGCCCTACAGTCACTTCTCATGCAGCCTTTCCTGACCTGCACTGCTCGTCCTGCTCCTCATCCTGTGAGCCGGCTCAGGACCAACCCAGGACTCAAAACTGTGTCTGGTCTCTTTCAGGGGGACCCCGATTGTTTCACTTTATACAGTGCGTTGTTGTTCTTCTTCTACTTTTCGCAGCAACTCGTATTTAACTCAGTCACAAACTGCCTGGGACCACGCAAGTTCCTGCACAGTGGGAAGCTCTATAAAGCCAAGAGTAACAAGGAGCTCTATGGTTTTCTGTTCAACGACTTCCTCCTCCTCACTCAGATCATAAAACCTCTTGGCTCCTCGGGCACAGACAAGGTGTTCAGCCCCAAGTCTAACCTGCAGTACAAAATGTACAAAACTGTAAGTACCTCTCTGGAATGGGGGCGGTGACAGGCCACGTGTGCACAGGGCAGCAGCTCCGTGCTGGGGGTGTGGGCAAGACCGTCCCAGAGAAGAGCTTTGAAAGCTTTGGAATACGCTGGGCATTCCTGGGACTGGTGGGGAGAAAGTTTGTGTGCTTTAGAGAGAAAACAAAACATGCTTTTGAAGTTTTGCTTGGACAGAACTCTCCAGCAAAGGGTCGCTTTTGTATCAGGCAGCGACGGGGAGAGCGCTGTTCGCTGCTCTCTGTGGGGAAGGAGGGATTGCTGAGCTCCAGGAGCCTGCTGGCTCCCTCCAGGACAAGTGTTTCCAGGCTCTGGAGGCACCTCTGTCTTTGCCAATGTTTAAAATTCTCCCATTATCTAATCTGAAGACAGATGGGAGGCAGAAGGGCAGAGGCACCTCAGCTGAACCTGTTGTAACTTGCTGTGTGTTGAAAGCGCCTGCTCAGACGTTGTGCAGTACAACTCTAGCTTTGCCTGATGTTTTACAGCCCATTTTTCTAAACGAGGTACTGGTAAAATTACCCACAGACCCTTCTGGAGATGAGCCCATCTTCCACATCTCCCACATTGACAGAGTCTACACCCTGCGGGCTGAAAGCATTAATGAGAGGTAAGAGTCTCCAAAGGCCGTGTTGGGGCTGAATTTGTGAAGTCTGGTGCAAGTGGATGGTGGGAATGGTTATGATGGAAACTTGCAGAGCAGTCTCCAAGCAGTTTCTTTTACAAGACTGGAAAATTCCCTCTTCTTGGGAATATGGTGATAGTCAGTATATGAAAAGCAGGGAGAAACAGTGATGTTTCCTGAATTCCAGCAAGAATGAAATATCTGGGAGGGTGGATATTTAGGCCGTATTTCACAACATTTTATGTTAATGTGAAGAAGGCAAAAGATGCAATTGTGCCTTCTGCTGTTGCCAGCTGTGTGTCTGTGCAGTGACAGCATTTGTATGGCTGTTGAAGGAGACCAAGGAACAGGTCAGAATTAGAATCTGAAGCAAAACCTACCAAACTAAACCCAGTGAGTTTATCTCGTTCAGTTCAGACTGGAAAAGTCAAAGGAAAGGCAACCTTAAAACCTGAGCTGATGGGTTTTATCTCTGGTGAGCTTACAGAGAGAAGCCTACACTGATTTATACTGAAAAGGTTTCTCTTCCCCAATGTAAAGTCTTGAAAGGTAACTTTTGTTAAAAACTGAAAGCTGGAAGTGCAGCAAAGCCCTCCCCACAGTGCAGACATTGTGTTGGTTGTGCCAGCTGGGAAATGTCCGGTCCTGAAACATTCTCAGGCACAAAATGTATGAAACATCTTGAGGCTGTGGCTGCCCCTGGATCCCTGGAAGTGTCCAAGACCAGGTTGGACAGGGCTTGGAGCACCCTGGGATAGTGGAAAGTGTCTCTGCCCGTGGCAGGGGATGGGACTGAATGGGCTTTAAGGTCCCTCCCAACCCAGACCATGTGCTCCTGTGGAGCAGCAGCTCTTCATTCCAGGTTCAGAAGCAGATCCACAGCTTTGAGATTTCCCCACGTTTCCTTGGCTCAGGTCTCGGGCTCCCTTGTGTGTCACAGCAATTCCTCTAAACCCTTGGGGTCCCTGGGAGCCCTTCTGCCACCCTTTTCCTCTGTCAGTCTTTCCACTCAGTCTCTTCCAGGCACATGGTGTGATTGTTGGGAACAGGGCTTGGACTCAGTGATCCTTGTGGGTCCTGTCCAACTCAGGATAGTCTGTAATTCTTATTCTTAAGGATGAAATGATTCCCCAGAAGGGCCCATAAGACACTGTGCTCATTCACCATCCGTGTACCCCCCAAGTTATGTTTTAAATGTCCCAAGGGCCAAAAGATTTTAGGATGAAACCTCAGGGATCAAGGTAAGGGGCCACCTCTGCAACCCAGGTGTCTTGTACATATTGGCTACAAGAAGTTCATTATAATAAAGCAAAGGGCTTGGTGAAAGCAAACCTGTTCTTTCTACCTTTTGGTTTCTCACCAAGTAGCTTCTGCTTGTGGTTCTCTTGAGCTTTCTTTGTGTGGTGGGATCTGCTGGCTTGGGATGGTTCCGTTTCAGCAGGTGCTACAAATTCCAGGAAGATCTCTTCCAGGCAGAGAGCTCTGGGACAGCAGAGGCTGGGGTGGGGCCAGAGCCTTGGCTGGGAAGGAGGGACAGCTTTAGTGTTCTGCCTGCTGTGCTCCGGCAGGGAAAAATGGAAATGGCGTTTTGCAACTTTGTTTTCTCCTTTCCTTCTGAAGGACTGCCTGGGTTCAGAAGATCAAAGCTGCTTCAGAACTTTACATAGAGACTGAAAAGAAGAAGAGGGAAAAGGCCTACTTAGGTACAGCATAGGATGAGGGGGGTCTCATCTTTTGTGGAGAAGTCCATGGGCAGGAAAATCCTTTGATGACTTTTCTCTCTGTCCTGTTTCACCGCAGTTCGCTCGCAAAGGGCGACAGGCATCGGGAGGCTGATGGTGAACGTGGTGGAAGGCATCGAGCTGAAACCCTGCAGGTCCCATGGTGAGTGCTGGGCTTTTTCAGAATGTGCTCCACCAAAGGGACATTCCCACTTGTCAGCCTGACTCTGGAGGAGGTTCTGTCCCAAACACGGCTTTGCTCAATGATGTGGGTCTAACAGAGGTAAAATATGCAGCAGTGACTTTGTGCAGCTCAGCTGTTGTCCTGCAGTTGTCCCGCGTCAGGCATTTGTTTCAGGCTGACTTGGTTCCCACCACATCAGCCCTATCCTAAGGGATCACAAGGCACAAAGTCCTGCAGGGAGGAGCAGAAGGTGCTCAGCCCCCTGCGGAGCAGTGTGTTCACTGTGATGTTCCTGGAGTTCATCCCAAGGGCAGTGAAGCCAAGGTCTTTCCCACCCCAAGGGCTGTAGGAGTGGAAGGAGATTGAGGACGAGGATCACACTGTTCTGTTTGTCCCAGGAAAGAGTAACCCCTACTGCGAGGTGACCATGGGCTCCCAGTGCCACATCACCAAGACCATACAGGACACCCTGAACCCCAAGTGGAATTCCAACTGCCAGTTCTTCATCAAGGACCTGGAGCAGGACGTGCTCTGCATCACGGTGTTCGAGCGGGACCAGTTCTCCCCGGATGGTGCGTAGGGACTGCCAGAGGGATTTTCCAATCTCCTGCTTTGAGGAGGTGCATTCCTGCTGACAGAAGTCATAGGGAATGGGTTGGGTTGAAAGATGGTTTTTAAAGATACCCCAGATCTGAACCCCTTTGCATACTGGGGGGTGGCTCACCCTTGCTCCCCGGTGGAGTTGTGCTGGCATCAGTGCAAAAAGAATCCACCTCTCTCTGGTTTTTGGGAGTTCCTTTTCTTGTGCAACTTGGCAACAACCAAAGTGTGCTTTGTAGCTCTGCTAAGTCTCCAAAAACTTTGGATGCTGTTTGCAAACAGATTGATTTCTGCAGGAGGAAGATAAATGCCTCCAAGTTCCTGTTATGTGCAGGAACAGTGGCAAAAGTGAACCCAGGATTCCAAACCCAGTAGAATCATGGGATGGTTTGGGTTGGAAGGGACCTTAAAGATCATCTAGTTCCACCACCTTCCATGGGCAGGGACACCTTCCATTAGACCAGGTTGCCCCAAGCCCCATCCAAGCTGGCCTTGGACACTTCCAGGGATGGGGAGTCCACAGCCTCTCTCATTCTAGTTTCATAACCTGGGATAAACATGGAGCATCAGCAAGTGTATTTTGGAGCCATAATCTCCCAGGCAGTGTTTGGATAGGACTGGCACTGCCATGGCCAGCACCACTTGGCCTGGTGACCTTGTTGTTGCTGTGAGGCACTTCTTGGCTCTGTCATCTCCAGAGGGTTCCCACTCGGGTTTAACTGTGCAGCAGCTTTTGGCCTTTTTCTAACACATCATAAAATCCAGAAGTCACTGGAGTGAGGCAGCTGTGAATTCCGTAGCGGGGGTTTCCACACATTTACTTGGAATGCTGCTGCTGTGTAACATGGTCTGGCTAAACCCTCCTCTGTGCAGCTTGGCAGCCTTTGGCCCTTGTCAAGGGCAAAACCAGAGTCGTGTCTTCCTTTTGTTGCGTGGGGGGTGGAAGTTTAGTTCCTTCCGCAAACCCCGGTTGTGCCCTTCCTGAGCGCTCCCTCTTTTTGCCTTCCAGACTTCCTGGGCAGAACAGAGATCCGTGTGGCAGACATCAAGAAGGATCAGGGTTCAAAGGGACCGGTCACGAAGTGTCTCCTCCTGCACGAAGTGCCGACGGGAGAGATCGTGGTGCGGCTGGACCTGCAGCTCTTCGACGAGCCGTAGGAGGGCAGGGGCCGTTGGCGTTCGGTCGAGGTCACCGCGGCCCGCCGGGGTCTGCGGGAGCTGTCACAAGGTCCTGGCTGGTGTGGCAGGAAACCACTGCTCGCCCTTCACACCTCCGAGGGTTATCAAAGCAAACAGGAGCATCTTTGTGCCTTGATAATTCTCAGTGAAAACACGAATCCCGGTTTAGTGAGGAGATCTCCCTCAATCTCTCAATGTGGAACTTGGAGTTGGTTTCCTGGGTGGATGAAACAACCCTGTTGTTCCTTGTAGCTCCAGTGGGAACGGCTGGCAAACCACAGAGGTGGCTGTGCTTGCTCCAGTTGCCCTACTCTTGAATTTCCGTGGAGAAGGCAATGCTGGGATGTTTGGGAGGCTTTCTGCAGGGTTTTCCCATGAAAGAATTCTGTGCCTGTTGCTCAGCAAAGTGGGGTGTAAATGGGACGTGAATGGAAGGAGCAGTTTCGCAGCAAGAAGATCTTTGAAGATCTTCATGATGGTACTGAAAAGACTTAGAAAATAAATAGTCTATATCTATAAACAGAGAAGATTCTATTAACAAACCACTTCATGACTTGCATTGCCCCTGAAAATAAATGATGTCCAGGCCTCCTGCACAGAGATGAATTGCACTCCAGAAGAGTGCACCCCCTCGGTACCTTTGGAAGTTGCTGTTGTCCACAGGACTGTAAATGTTGGCACAGGAAGCCAAGGGTTAAGCACAGAGCCCTGCTGTGTGTGTCCTGCTGTACCACTTGGATACTCCTTTACTGCTGCTGCCCAGGTGGGTGATCTGTCACCTGCAGTGGGGAAGAAAAAACAATCACGGCTCCAGCTCAGGAAGGGAATTCCCACCCCGCAGAGTGTGGTTTCAAAGCAATCAGTGGTGCCCAGGTACTGGCCTGTGCTGGGCTCACCTGTGTGGGACAAGGTGTGATGGGAGCGGGGCAGCAGCTCCCAGAGGTTGGTGGCTGTGCTGGATGTGCAGAGTGGGGAACCCCAAAGCCTTGTCACGCTGGGGAGCGCCAGGGCTTCCCTATCCATTGGCTCCATGGACACACACGTCCAGGCCCACATCCCTGTTGGGCAAAGCCCCGGCTCCAGGCGGGCACTCACGTCTGGCGTCCCCGGAGCACCCGCGTAAGGGCTTTGCTGAGTCTGGACTCGAGAGGGAAAAGAGCCCCGAGAGTCAAATTCCTCTTTGTTCTGCTTGGATTCATTCTGTTCATGCCCTGCCACGCATCCACTGGTATTTTTGTAAGGACTTCATTCCGGATGGGAGGTGCCAGCCTGTGTCATTCGCATGTGAACGTTCTCGTGGAGCCTGTTGTTGGGTTTTGGTGTTCCTTGCATGTCCTTCAGTCCTGGTTCCCACCTCTCCTGTGTTGGTGGTGTTCTCTAGCACTACAAGTCTTATTGGTTTCCATTAGGAAATTAGGATATATCCATAACAGGTAGGTAGATCCGTATGGTAATAAGTGTAAACTGTGCTGGGAAGTGTCTGTGTATTATAATTTCCTAAAAGACCACTGTAATGTTTCAAGCAATGGGAAGAAAAAAAAAAAAAAGTATGTTGGAGGGACAACAAAGTTTACATTTCATACTTTTCAGAATCGCTTTATTATTTATTTATTGAAGATAGTGTAGAATTTTGTATCAGAAATGACAGACATACTTATGTATTTTTTGAAACAAAACAGAGATACACACTTTAGTTAGAAACTTTCAACTGACCACGTTTTAGAGGGAGTGTAACTTCCTAGGCATGCATTTGTTTACCACTAACTGGCTGAAAACACGATTTAGAGAACTTTAAGTTTCTATTTTTCAATGTTGTTAAGAAAATTGTTTCAATTAAAATATGTAAATAGTACTAAACCCATGCTTTCCTAATTCCATATCAAGACATTTTATGAAATATAATGTATATGAAAATACACATCGTTGTGGTAGGATTAAAAAAAAAGTGATAAAATCTATTACTGGAGTAACATTAAATGTCATTGTCTAACCTTTGATCGCTGTCCTAATTTTACTCAGCTGCCAACGTGGTAAACGTTTATTTCAGGGTTTCAAAAGTAGCATCACTTTTTGCTGGGATCATTTCACCAGCATCGGTGACAGCAACACCTGATTAGACAAACGGGACAAAAAGCCCGTGGCTGTAACACAGAAACCCTGGGCAGGTTCTTGGAAGAAGCCCCAAAGAGCTGGAAGGGGGGACCCTTCTCTGCAGACTGGGACCCCTGACATGGGCGTCCTGGAATCCCAGATTCCCGGACTGGTTTGGGTTGGAGAGGAGGATGTCTGTGGAATAGGCATTTTTAAACTGGTTTTTTTACTTCTTATTTTTTAGCTGGCTGCTCCTCTGAGCCCCGGGGACCCCCAGA